GTCTCGAACTCCGACCTCATGATCCCCACCTGCCTCAGCCTTGTATGTGCAGTGTTTCAGGCGGACCACTGCGCTGTGTGTGTGTCTCTGCTCAAAACATTGTTTTTAATTAGTGGGAGCCTTTCTTAAATAAAACTACCCAGAGGCTCAATTGGTTGTAGTAATTATTAAGAGTTGTGTTTGGAGGGTCGGGTGCGGGTTAGCACAGAAGACAGCGGAAGGGAGCGCAGACCAGCCTGGCCAACATGGTGAAACCCCTGTCTCCACTAAAAATACAAAAATTAGCCGGCTGTGGTGGCTGGCGCCTGTAATCCCAGCTACTTGGGAGGCTGAGGCAGGAGAACTGCTTGAAACTGGAAGGCGGAGGTTACAGTGAGCTGAGATTGCGCCACCACACTCCAGCCTAAGCGAAAGAGCGAAACTCCATCTCAAAAAATAAACAATAAAGGTTTTCAAAGCACTGATTTCTATTCTTGCATTTTATAGATAAGGAGACTGAGGCCCAGAAAAGGGGAAGATTTTTCCAAGGGTTTAACTAGAACTATTTTGTTTAGTTCATTTGTGTGCTATAGCCCTTTACTTAGTAAACATTTAGGAAACTGGAGTAACAGTTTAAACCGACACACGAGAGCAGAGAGCAGCATGACTTGGGAGTTAGAGAAGACCACTGCCTGCAGCTCAAGGCATGCCTTTCCTAGCCCAATACCAGCCCATCAAAACCCCTCTCTGCTAACACATTCTGCATGTAGCACATACTGACATAGTAGTTTTTTGGTCTTATCTTCCAACTAAACTGCAAGCCCCTGAAAGGCAGAGGCCAAATCCTATAAAATGTTTTGTTGACACATTTGATAAACCAAGGCTTTACACACAGACACCACATAAATAGCTGTTGATTAAATCATCATTTAAATAAAATAAATCATGTACGTAGACAGAAGACTTCAGTTAGGGAGGCAGCCACCAAAGGACTCCCAAACTTTTTAAAAGGCTGTTAATAACCACACATCTGACAAGGGTTAATGACCAAAATATGTAAGAAACTCAAAAGACCCAATTAAAAAATGGGCAAAGGATCTGAATAGACATTTCTCCAAAGAAAACATACAGGGCCAAGTACAGTGGCTCACACCTGTAACCCCAACACTTTGGGAGGCTGAGGTGAGATGAACACTTGAGCCCAGTAGTCTGAGACCAGCCTTGGCAACATAGTGAGACCCGTCTCTACAAAAAATTGGCTGGGGGCGGTGGCTCACGCCTGTAATCCTAGCACTTTGGGAGGCCAAGGCGGGTGGATCACTTGAGGTCAGGAGTTCAAAACCAGCCTAGCCAACATGGTGAAAATCCGTCTCTACTAAAAATACAATTAGCCAGGCATGGTGGCATGTGCCTGTAATCCCAGCTACTCGGGAGGCTGAGGCAGGAGAATCGCTTGCCTTGGAGGCAGAGGTTGCAGTGAGCCAAGATTGCACCACTGCACTCCAGCCTGGGTGACAGAGCAAGACTCTGTCTCAAAATAATAACAATAATTAATAATTAACCAGGTGTGGTGGTGTGTGCCCGTACTTCCAGCTACTTGGAAACCTGCAGTGAGTGAAGATCACATCACTGCACTCCAGCCTGTGAGGCAGCGAGACCCTGTCAAAGAAAGTAAGTCTTCATTTTAAGACATAATTAAGACAAGCAACTTGTTGAATATAAAGACCAGCAGTCATGGATGGAGACATTGGCCCTTTAAGATGCAGAAGAACCGTGATGAAATCTACTTAAAATATCTAAAACTAGTAAATCCAACTAATGTGACAGCTCTGAATTATAAAAATGTTTCTACCTATATATACCATATATGTATTTTAGGTAGTTTTTGTAAGAATCCAGATGAACAGTGAACATTTTAAAGTTAAGACCAAACAATGTGGCTGCTGAAAATCTCCATTACGACACATTTTATTCATTCTCAAAAGCCACTGTTCATCTTTTAAAACCTGTTATATTCAAATTTTTAAGATAAATTAGTGCATTCAATATAATCAACCTCTTCATCCTTTCAAAGAAGAGAGAACTAATTAATATCAGGCCATATTTTTGGAGAAAAATACGCTTTCATTTTTTTTTTCTTGGCAACTTAGATCTTACAGAAAATGGAGAACACTTTGCATTAAATCATCTTTGTAAACATGGATACACTTAGGAGGTTCTAGCTGAACAGCTATTTGTAAAGCAGTAAAGCGCCAGGGACCATGTTACTTCAACACCAACTTAACACCCTACTAGGTAGACACTTGGTGCTACCAAAGGCCTCCCCACCGTCTGAGTCCGGTCCTTACTTGCACAGGTATAGGAAGAGAGGCTCCAAGTCAGCGCACTCACAGTTCCCGAGTCTCTCGTCTTCCATAGACACTGGAGCTGTGCAAACTTACTGGCCGCGCTGATGAAAGTACATAGATTCTGTTTGCAGATAAAATGTGAGAAAGTCACGAGTCTGTTTGTTAAAAAAGCAAAAGAGGCCTGGGCACGGTGGCTCACACCTGTAATCCCAGCACTTTGAGAGGCCGAGGCGGGCGGATCACGAGGGCAGGAGATCGAGACCATCCTGGCTAACACGGTGAAACCCCATCTCTACTAAAAATACAAAAAATTAGCTGGGCGTGTTGGCGGGCGCCTGTAGTCCCAGCTACTTGGGAGGCTGAGGCAGGAAAATGGCGTGAACCCAGGAGGCGAAGCTCACAGTGAGCTGAGATCGTGCCACTGCACTCCAGCCTGGGCAACGGAGTGAGACTCCGTCTCAAAAAAAAAAAAAGCAAAAACAAAAGAGCACCAGATACTCAAAGCACTTTTGAAGCCAAATTTTCAAGTCAAAATAATAACGGATTTGTACAAAGTTGAAACCTAACTTTGGTGAAAAAGAATGCAATAGTGAGACATTTATTTATTTTGTTCGTTAGCTAAGACAGAGTCTCACTCTGTCGCCCAAGCTGGAGTGCAGTGGCACAATCTTGGTCCACTGCAACCCCCGCCTCCCAGGTTCAAAAAATTCTCCTGTCTCAGCCTCTCGAGTAGCTGGGAGTACAGGCACGCGCCACCACGCCTGGTTAATTTTTGTATTTTAAGTAGAAATGGGGTTTTGCCATGTTGGCCAGGCTGGTCTCAAACTCCTGACCTCAGGTGATCCGCCTGCCTCGGCCCCCCAATATGTTGGGATTACAGGCGTGAGCCACCACGCCCAGCTTAAGACATTTATTTATAACTCACAGATTCCACCATGCAGTGGGTAACTAATGGCCAGGGCTAGTTTGAAGTTGGGAATGAGAAAGAATCAATGCATGGCCACAGAGTTTCATCTATCCACACCTCTAATAAGAAATAAGTACTGAGGGGCCAGGTGCGGTGGCTCAGGCCTGTAATATCAGCACTTTGGGAGGCTGAGGCGGACAAATCACAAGGTCAGGTGTTCGAGACCAGCCTGGCCAACATGGTGAAACCCCGTCTCTACTAAAAACAGAAAAAAATTAGCTGGGTGTAGTGGCAGGCGCCTGTAACCCCAGCTATTCGGAAGGCTGAGGCAGGAGAATCGCTTGAACCCAGGAGGCAGAGGTTGCAGTGAGCTGAGATCGCATCGCTGCACTCCAGTCCTGGCAACAGAGTGAGACTCCGTCTCAAAAAAAAAAAGGAAAAAAGAAGTGAAAGGACACAAAGATAGATGTGTACCCGCCCCCCCACACACCTTTGTTCTGCTCTCTAATCTTTGCACATACCAGAGATTTCGTAAGTTCTGTGAGCACCTGTTTTTCTGCACGTACCAGAGATTTTGTTTTGCACATACCAGAGATTTTGTAAGTTCTGAGCCAAGGTCACAAGACGTGTTTAAGTAAGATAAACTCTTGCTGCCATAAACCTGCTCTCCCGCCTCAAAGGTTGAACCGAAATATCAGAAATGGCGGGAACCAATCATAGTTAGCCAAATCGCCTTGTTCAAACACTAGCCAATCATATATCTGATTTGTATAATAACTCTATGCCCACTTTTCTTAGACTATATAACACTGCTCGGAGCTCAGTAGGGGGAGCTCTCCTGCCCGTCTCGTTTCGCGAGCGAGGGAGAGTTCCAGGTTCGAACCTGTAATAAAGATCCTTGCTGCTTAGCTTTGGCTCTGGACTCTGGTGGTCTTCTTCGGGGAATAAATGGTCTGGGCATAACAGAAGTACTGAGATACTGTGCTTTAGAGCTTGGGGAAAACTATGCTGTTCTGAACTGACAAACATGAACTCCAGCAGCAAGCTGTGGCGCTTCAGCCCTGAATTGCTGGCTATTCTGCTAGTCTGTGTGGAGGTGCGCTCAGGCCTCTGCTACACGGTGAGGAAGTGATCCTCACACATCAGCCTGCTGCTCTGCACAGCATCCTCCATGCTGACCACCACCAGCCCTGCCAGCACCAGTCTCTTCAGCAGCTGAAACTCCCGTCTCCGGGTTGAGTGTAGGCCGAAGGGAGATGAGGTGACACCTGGGAGACCAGTTAGGCTAGTGCAGTCACCTGGGTTTGTACGAGGGCAGTAGAAACAAATGAGGTGAGAAGTGTTCAGGTTCCGGATATATTTCCAAGGCAAAGCCAATAGGATTTGCTGAGGGAGTGGTAATAGGATGTGAGAAAAAGAGAAATCTGGCTGGGCACGGTGGCTCATGCCTATAATCCCAGTACTCTGGGAGGCTGAGGCAGGTGGATCACGAGGTCAAGAGATCGAGACATCCTGGCCAACATGGTGAAACCCCGTCTCTACTAAAAATGCAAAAATTAGTTGGGCATGGTGGCGCGCACCTGTAGTCCCAGCTACTCGGGAGGCTGAGGCAGGAGAATCACTTGAATCTGGGAGGTGGAGGTTGCAGTGAGCTGAGATCATGCCACTGCACTCCAGCCTGGTGACAGAGCAAGACTCTGTCTCAAAAAAAAGGAAAGAAAAGAAAGGAAAGAAAGGAAGAAAGAAAGAAAGAAAGAAAAGAAAAAAAAAAGAAAAAGAGAAATCCAGGAATCCAGGGTGATTCCAAACTCCAGTGTTTCTGGCCTTTGCAGTGGAAGAACGGAGTTGCCATTAATTGAGACAGATTAAGATGAAGGAAGGAGGGGGCAGGGTGGGAGATCAGAAACCCAGTTCTGGACACACAAGGTTGGAGAGGCTCACTGTCAGGCAAGGGTAGCCGGTGGTTGGCTGTGAGGTGTGTGTTGGAGCCCTGGAAACACTGGAATCAGGGAACTGAGGAGGAATCAGTAAGGACACAGAAAGGATCAAGGGGAAGGGACACTGGGGAGCAAGGCGTCCTGGAAGCCAGGTGGGCAAAGCGATTCAAGGAGGAGTCTGTGGGGAAAAGAAAGAGAGAACAGACTGTTACTGTGTCTATATAGAAAGTAGACATAAGAGACTCCCCTTTGTTCTGTATTTGAGATGCTGTTAATCTGTGACCCTACCCCCAAACTTGTCCTTGCAAGAGACACCTGCTGTGGTGACTCAAGGTTTAATGGATTTTGGGCTGTGCAGGATGTGCTTTGTTAAACAAGTGCCTGAAGGCAGCTTGCTTGTGAAAAGTCATCACTATTCTCTTAATCTCAAGTACCCAGGGACACATACACTGCGGAAGGTCGGAAGGTCGCAGGGACCTCTGCCTAGGAAAGCTAGGTATTGTCCAAGGTTTCTCCCCATGTGATAGTCTGAAATATGGCCTTGTGGGAAGGCAAAGACCTGATCGTCCCCTAGCCTGACACCTGTGACGGGTCTGTGCTGAGGAGGACTAGTGTAAGAGGAAAGAAGGCCTCTTGGCAGTTGAGAAAGAGAAAAGCATCTGTCTCCTGCCTGCCCCTGGGCAATGGAACATCTCCGTGTAAAACCCGATTGCATGTTCTGTTTACTGAGAAAGGAGAAAACCGCCTTAGGGCTGAAGGTGGGACGTGCTAGCGCAATGCTGCTCTTTATGCACTAAAAAGGTTTATGGAGATATTTGCATATGCATATCAAGCACAGCACTTTTCCTTAAACTTATTCATGTCACAGAGATTTTTATTCATGTCTTACTGCTGACCTTCTCCCTACAATGATCCTATTATCCTGCCACTTCCCTTTTTCTAAGATGGCAAAGCTAATGATCAATAAATACTGAGGGAACTGAGAGACCGGTGCCGGCGCGGGTCCTCTGTATGCTGAGCGCCGGTCCCCTGGGCCCACTTTTTCTTTCTCTATACTTTGTCTGTGTCTCATTTCTTTTCTCAAGTCTCTCGTTCCACCTAATGAGAAACGCCCACAGGTGTGAAGGGGCAGGCCACCCCTTCAGGAGTCCTGATCGATGGCGTCAAAAGCTACCGAGATATGAAGAAGAGGAATGAGAACTGGTCACGGGCTCTGGCATGAATGAAAGCGGCTGGTCTTGACAAGAGCAGCTTGTTGACCTTCTGTCTCCCCAGGAGAAGGAAAGCTCACGGGGAACATTCAGTTTGTTTCCTGCTGGGTCCCCAGGACCTGTGACAGTGCTGGCACCTGGCCGGCACTCAACAAATCCTTGCTGAGGGAATAAATCCTTAATAATAATGCAGTTTGGCAAATGTGATGATAAAAGTGCACCCAGCGTGACTTGGGAGGACAGAAAGGGTTACTTGGACAAGGAAGAATTATGGAGAAGGGAGGCCAGGTGCAGTGGCTCAAGCCTGTAATCCCAGCACTTCGGGAGGCCAAGGCGGGAGGATCACTTGAGGCCAGGAGTTCAAGACCAGCCTGACCAACATGGTGAAACCCCATCTCTACAAAAAATACAAAAATTAGCCAGCCATGGTTGCATGTGCCTGTGGTCCCAGCTACTCAGGAGGCTCAGGCACAAGAATCATTTGAACCCAGAAGGCAGAGGTTGCAGTGAGCCGAGATCACACCACTGCACTCTAGCTTGGGCAACAGGGTGAGACTCTGTATCAAAAGAAAAAAAAAAAAGGAATTATGGAGAAGGGAACTGCAGGAAGTGCTCTTGGGCAGAGGAGTTGACCAAGGACCTGTGGTCAGGCCTGTGGCAGGATTAAAGTCACCCTGGGAGCTAGGTGCGGATGGCTTGGAGGATGGCTGACCCCAGGCAGGAAGGCCTGTGAGGAGAGGGGGCTCTTGTATAATCAGGAGACCTGGACACAGCAGAGGAGGGAGGGCTGCAGGGGAGGGCTCGCACCAGAGAACTAGCCAGACCACAGGCTCGGCGGGGTGGCAAGGAGTCGGTGCGGGATGGGAAGAGCTGGGGAAGCTGGCTTTGTTCACACACATCAGGGCCCCAGACCACATTACGACACACTCGTGCTAAACACAAGCTTGCCTGCTAGATACTCTACCAGATCCATCTTTCAGGAACGAAGCCATCTTTACAATCCTGAAACAGTGTTGGTTTGGGCCCTCACCGAGCCCCGGAATGACTTATCACCTCAATTCAATGGGAGACGATGAAATTTTTCTGTAAACCAGTCTAGTCTAGGAACAGGATTGGAAAGGAGAAGGGATGCTTAGCTGTCATGGGGATCATTTTTAAGTACTTTAATCATTTTCTTGTGAATAAACCATGAGTATATGAATTATCAATTTAACCATGAAAGCACAGTTTAGGACTTCTGGGGGAACGATCTTGGGTACCTGCATTTGAAAGCCAAAAAACAGAACATTCTACAATGGAGGTTTTCCACTGATTCAAGCAGCATCCGCTTCTCTCTAGGATTCTGGAGTTTTGCTACCATGTGTGAGCTCTGAAGGCCCAGCTGGTTCTCCTGCACTGGGGCTCACCATGACTCTCAGATCTGGGCCACCTTGTGCCCCGCGCCCTGGCACCTCAGAGCAGGTGCATGAGGAACACTCATTGAGTCAGTGAAGGAGGGCTATGGGCAGACACAGCACGGAGCCTGGTGTTCAGCCCTCGCACGATAAAGGAAAGAATCAAAATTACATTTCATGAAATGTTACATCATCAATGTGTGGTTAGACTAGACGACTACTGCTAAGGGTACAGAAGAAACACCAAAAAGCTGTTGTTGTCTTTGACCCCTGAACGTGATTCTTTTGTTTTGTTTTGTTTTGTTTTTGAAACAGAGTCTCGCTCTGTTGCCCAGGCTGGAGTGCAACGGTTTGATCATGGCTGACTGCAACCTCCACCTTGCAGGTTCAAGCGATTCTCCTGCCTCAGCCTCCGGAGTAGCTGGGATTACAGGCACGCGCCACCACGCCCAGCTAATTTTTGTATTTTTAGTAGAGATGGGGTTTCGCCATTTTGGCCAGGCTGGTCTCGAACTGCTGACCTCAAGTGATCCACACGCCTCGGCCTCCCAAAGCGCTGGGATTACAGGCGTGAGCCACTGCACCCAGCCGTTCTTGACAAGCCTATATCTCAACATTGCTGGAAGGATGTTTCCTGAGGGGTGAAGGCTCACAGCTGCTGTATGGGAGCTAATCACCCCCAAACTAGAACCACCCCAACTCAATCAGTAGTAGGAGCTACTGAGAACAGAGAGAACAGAGAACAGAGACAACAGAGAGAACAGAGAGAACAGAGACAACAGAGAGAACAGAGAGAACAGAGACAACAGAGACAACAGAGAGAACAGAGACAACAGAGACAACAGAGAGAACAGAGACAACAGAGACAACAGAGACAACAGAGAGAAGAGAGAACAGAGACAACAGAGAGAACAGAGACAACAGAGAGAACAGAGACAACAGAGACAACAGAGAGAACAGAGACAACAGAGACAACAGAGAGAACAGAGACAACAGAGAGAACAGAGACAACAGAGACAACAGAGAGAACAGAGACAACAGAGACAACAGAGACAACAGAGGGAAGGCTCATTTACAGGGTTGTGAGATTTGGCAAAAAAAAAAATACAGGACATCTAGTTAAATTTAAATTTCAGGTCAACAACAACAAATGTTTTAGTACAAGTATGTCCCATGCAATATTTTGTTTGTTTGTTTTTTGAGATGGAGTCTTGCTCTGTCACCTAGGCTGGAGTGCAGTGGCATGATCTCAGCTCACTACAAGCTCTGCCTCCCGGGGTTGAAGCGATTCTCCTGACTCAGTCTCCCAAGTAGCTGGAATTACAGGTGCCCGCCACCATGCCTGGCTAATTTTTGTTTTCTTTTAGTAGAGAATGGGGTTTCGCCTGTTGGCCAGGCTGGCCTCAAACTGCTGACCTCAGGTGATCCGCCTACCTCGGCCTCCCAAGGTGCTGAGAATACAGGCGTGAGCCACCGCGCCTGGCCCCATGCAATATTTTGGACATACTTGTACTGAAAAAGTGTTCCTTTTTAATACGGCAACCCTACTTATCTGCTCTCCAAAGAAACAGGGTTGAAATGTAACAGAAATTTAACAGAGAATCTTGTCCACAGACAAGACGCTGGGGGAAAGGGGAAAGAAATTCATGAGTCTAGGTGTGGCAGGCAGTGCCCTGCGACCACCAGTTAGTTCTCCTCCTTCTTTTCTCATTCACTTCTGTCACCTTGGAGAGGTCTGTGGTCAAACACATCCTCAACCACCCTCAGAAGCCCTTGGAAATTTTCAGCCCTGAGCCAAGTATGAAAATAAGTCGGCCCTTCTCCAGGACAAGGCCAACATGCCATTATGAACCTAAGAAGCAGCTCATTAACTGATGCTCAATTCTTCATTCTAAAACTGTTAGTGGCCGGGCGCCTAGGCTCAAACCTGTAATCCCAGCACTGTGGGAAGCCAAGGCGTGTGGATCACCTGAGGTCAGGAGTTCGAGACCAGCCTGGCCAACATGGTGAAACCCTGTCTCTACTAAAAATACAAAAATTAGCTGGGCATGGTGGCACATGCCTGTAATCCAGGCTACTGGGGAGGTTGAGGCAGGAGAATCCCTTGAACCCAGGAGGCAGAGGTTGTGGTGAACCGATTGTGCCATTGTATTCCAGCCTGGGCAACAAGAGCGAAACTCCATCTCAAAAAAAAAAAAAAAATACATACATATATATATATGATCTATCAAGTTCTCTCCAAGGTAGCTTATTCCTCCTACTTTCTTTTCAAGCACAACACTTACCATGGCCAGGTCTATGATCCACTTCTGCAGGGCGAGGACGAACCAAGAAGACACCAATCTTACCAAGTGTTAAGGGACACAGCAGTGGGTCGTCCACATCCCCGCCACCCTCCCATCTCACATATACAAACCAAGACCACAGAGAGCTGCACATGGAAGCCAGGTGGGTGGGAGAGGGGGACATGCTACCAGAATCTGCCGGATTTGGAAGGGATGAAAAGGGTTGCAAGTGAACACCTGCTGGGAGTTCAAAAGAACGAAAGCAGGTTACGGAAGAGAAATACAAAGACACCTGTGGGGAAAAGAAAGAGATCAGCCTGTTACTGTGTCTATATAGAAGTAGACATAAGAGACTCCATTTTGTTCTGTATTTGAGATGCTGTTAATCTGTGACCCTACCCCCAACCTTGTCCTTGCAAGAGACATGTGCTGTGGTAACTCAAGGTTTAATGGATTTTGGGCGTGCAGGGTGTGTCTTTGTTCCTAGAAAAGCTAGGTATTGTCCAAGGTTTATCCCCATGTGATAGGATGAAACAATGTTGCTAAAAGGTTTATCTCAAGGCACAGGATTTTCCTTTAAACTTATTCATGTCACAGAGATCCTTGTTCTTATGTCTTACTGCTAATTTCCTCCCTAAAAACGATCCTATTGTCCTGCCACTCCCTTATCTTTAGGATGGTAAAGATAATTATCTATAAATACTAAGGGAACTCAGAGGCCGGTGCCAGCGTGGGTCCTCTGTAAGCTGAGCGCCGGTCCCCTGGGCCCCGCTTTTCTTTCCCTATACTTTGTCTCTGTGTCTTATTTCTTTTCTCAAGTCTCTCATTCCACCTAACGAGAAACACCCACAGGTGTGGAGGGGCAGGCCACCCCTTCAACACCCACACTCATGGACTGCTCCCGACGACCGGGAACATTCCTAGTGGTTTTCACTGACCACTTAATTCCAGACCATGCAGACATCTCTGATTTATGGTCAAAAGCTGAGCACTTAAAAGAGAAGTCCAACATTATAAAGCAGGAATGTTCTGCAAAATCGGTGTGATGTGAACTTCTGTTTACTGACTTCCACCTTTCCCACTAACTCCACTGTAAAAACAATACCGTAGGGGTGGGCAATGCTGGGAGTCAGGCGTGTGCACTGAGCTCGGCGACGCCACAGGAACAGAGGCCAGCTGGGAGCTGAACAAGCACCCAGGAGACAGCAGCCAGGGCTGGAAGGGGACCGCCAAGAGTCTCTGGAGTGGCCTTGGGAAAGTCGCTTTCCATCTTTCCACCGTGATTTGCTTATCTGTAAAATGGACTCAACATTCCTTACTCTATCTACCTCCTGAATGCCTAAAAGCACGTAGCACCGACTCAAGAGACTGCTATTACTATAATTTCAAACATTAATTAAATGAAGATATTGAAACAATGCCCGGTGCTAAAAGTCAGTGGAACTAAATACTCACAGCCTGGTCAACACGAGAAGGTAGCTCGAAGCTGGCTAGATAGAATCCTGTTTTAAAAACACTAACTCAATTTTGAAACCTAATTTTTGTGACTGCTCCCCCAACCAATTCTGTTCCATCCCACCTCATTCTGTGTATTCGGAATATACATTTTATAAAATTTGACCAATAGTAGGAGCTTCTGAGATCCTACAGATGATTTATTTGTAGGGTTGCCAGATTTCACAAATTAAAGTACAGGACATCCAGTTAAATTTGAATTTCAAGTGGAAAATAAATAACTTTTCCCAAGTTATTTATTGGTGTGAGACACCATGCTTGAATCATTTTTTTTCTTCTTTTTTTTGGAGCACTAGGGAATCCCACTATGTTGCCCAGGCTAGCCTCAAACTCCTGACCTCAAAAGATCCTCCCACTTAGACCACCCAACCCACTGGGGTTACAGGCAAGAGCCACCGCACCTGGTCAATAATTTTCAGTAGAAGTATATCCCATGCAATATTTAAAAGTATTCCTTAATATGGTAACCCTATTCTTTTGCTCTCTGTAAGTCCAACAGGAGATTATAAGCATCTTGCTGATACTACGGACTCGCCATCAGCCTCCAGCTATGTGATATCTCCCAGTGCCACCAGCACCCAAATTTTCTAATCTGCAGACTCACCATTTGCACAAAGCTGTTGCATTGTATTTCAAAAGTAAACCACGTAACTCTTTTCATCTTCAAAGTACCGTTTACCAGTACTTTAACCAGCTGGGACTGACTGTGAAGTGTTGAGGTGCAGTCCAGCTGTGCAGTCCCTCTTCCTGCAGAGAGAAACGGAGGCAGCAGAGCTTACCACTCGGGGAAACAGCAGAGGGTCAGGACTCGGCCAGAACCCAGCTCCCTCCACCGACACAGGCTGCAGAGCCTCGCTGCTGGTAAAACCATCACAACGGCCCTGTCATTTACTCTGCTTGACTGTGTTTCTGGCACTTCTAGCTTCCACAACAACCCTAAAACATAGGCATTATGATCCCACGTCACAGATGGGGGATGCGCAGTTTATGGTGTATGCTGAAGCCACCGCTGTGGTGGCAGGGACCTGTCCTGTCTGGCTCCAGGCCAGCTGTTTCCCACCACTCCACACCCACATTCTCATGGCCTGCGCTTAGGTCACTCGGGCCACAGGCCTGGCTCTGCCCTCCTTCCTCTGCTCTGAAGAGGGCATGGGAAGAAACAGCTCAGGACATTTCACAGATGTGGCAGGACAGGCTGACAGCTAGTGCCATTGAAAACACTTTCTTGGGCCAGGAGTGGCGGCTCATGCCTGTAGTCCCAGCGCTTTGGAAAGCCAAGGTGGAAAGGTCGCTTGAGTCCAGGAGTTCAAGACTAGTCTGGGCAACACACTGGGACCCAATCTCTAAAAAAAAAATTTTTAATTAGCTGGGCCTGGTAGCATGCACCTGTAGTTCCAGCTACTCGGGAGGCTGAGGCAGGAGAATTCCTTGGCCCCAGAAGTTCAAGACTGCAGTGAGCTATAATCCAGCCACTGCACTTCAGCCTGGGTGACACGGTGAGACCCTGTCTCTTAAAAAAAAGGTTAAAACATCTTATAGCTTGGGCAATACAGGGAGACCCGCATACCTACAAAAAATTTAAAAATTAGCTGAGTGTGGTGGCATGCTTCGATAGTCCAAGCTACTCGGGAGGCTGAGGCAGGAGGATCGCTTGATCAAGACAATTAAGCTTGACCAAGGAGGTCAAGGCTGCAGTGAGCTTTGATCCCACCACTGTAATCCAGCCTGGGCCACAGAGCAAGACCGCCTCAAAACAAACAAACAAACAACAACAAAAAACACTCTCCTGGCTTTTTTTTTTTTTTTTTTTTGAGACGAGTCTTGCTCTGTCACCCAGGCTGGAGTGCAGTGGTGCCATCTCGGCTCATTGCAAGCTCCGCCTCCCGGGTTCACACCATTCTCCCGCCCTCAGCTTCCCGAGTAGTTGGGACTACAGGTGCCCGCCACCACACCTGGCTAATTTTTTTGTATTTTTAGTAGATACAGGGTTTCACCTTGTTAGCCAGGATGGTCTCGATCTCCTGACCTCATGATCCGCCCGCCTCGGCCTCCCAAAGTGCTGGGATTATAGGTGTGAGCCACCGCGCCCGGCCTCTCCTGGCTTTTTAAGGAGTGTGACGTTCAACTAGTGAGTCTTTACAGAGAGAACTGAAGTGAAGCCTCACCCTCATTCACAGGAAGTGCCACTGAGCGGGGACACATCTTTGAGCTGACCAGGCTTCCACTGCAAGCCTCAGCCACCGACTGCCGCTCAGACCTCAAGGCTCAGCCTCTAAGCTAACGTCTTGAGAGGCGCCGGATACTCTCAGTATTGCTTCCAATCCTTGGGGACCATTATCAGGGCAGGAAGAAATGTCTCAGATGAACTAATGCAGCTGGATGATGCTGCTCTTAGCAAGGGTGGACTCGACCCATCTGCCTTCCACTCGGCCTGCTGGCACCGCCCAGGGCATGCTGGTCTCGGAGGGGCAGCAGGGGCTGTACTGAGGGCATCTCTAGTGTACGTGGACACATTTATATTTGAGATTCTTTTTTTTTAACCAAAAAATACACATCTGGTAAAGAAGCCTGCTTCACAATACATACTATTCGCAAATAACACCCCTGTTCCCACTTCTGGCTCAGATTCGGAAAGGATACACAGCGATGTAAGGAGTGGCCTGCTTCACGTTCCCGTTAAAATGAAAGATACACAGCAGGAGGATGACATCTGAAAGAGAGAGGCTCCGAGTGAGGGAGGAAGGGGAGACCCGCAGCAGCCCGCCGGACAGGGAAGGGGCTGTTACCTTGTGCGATGAGGATGGGGTACTCCAGGTAGGTCAGCGGCGGATACCCATAGTAACACTGGTACCGGAGAAACACCAGGAACCTGGAAAGAGGAGGGCACATGTCCACGCGGCTGCCCCAAAACGCAGCTCGGGGCCTGGCAGGCACCCGGAACACAGGTCAGTTTGCCGAATCCTCGCAGTGGTGGTGTGGACACCCCAGTGTTAAAGACGAAGGTTTAGAACAAAATAGATGGAATTCAGTTGAATCATCTGTACAATTTTTGGGGCATCCAGAACTTACTGGGCACCGGGCCATAGTGCGATACCCATGACCTCTATAAAGTGCCTTGAGATGGTCACTTACAAAGGGTTTTTACAGAAGACAAATCCCTGAGCAGGAGTATGAGACTGGGCCTTCTAGGCCCACGCTTGCTGGCCTGCCTGCCACGTTGGGCTCTCACTGACCCCAGCAGCTGCCCCTCAGCTGCTGCACACATCTGCCTTCCACTCTGAGAAGCTGCAGAGGCACAAGGATCCGAGGGGCTGCAGCCATCCCTGGATGGGGGTCTGTAGCCATGTTTTAAGAGTTAGAACAGCACCTGGATGGTCCAGTTGCCTTCCAGAAGAGCTGCCTGGTTGAGACGGCAGTGGGGGAAAAGCACAAAGAACCACCCTCAGTTTCACTAAGATTCCAGCTGTGAGGATGCTGCAAAGACCCCAGGGTCCCACCTTCTCAGAAGAAAAGGCAGAGCTTCCTGCCTCCCCGTCACACCCAGCTGTCTCCTCCCTCAGGACCGGAATCCCCGTGGTCTCCCGGGGCTGTTTGTCCCACACCCAGCTTTGTGGCTCCCTCCCTCTCACCTGTGTGTTCAGACCACTCAGGTCGGGAAGAAAGGGGAGCAGGAACCACGGGACTTCAATGTACAGGAGGGATCCCCCAGGGTCTCCGATCGCCTAAGCTAGGAAGGAATCCTGGAAAAGCCCGGTTCACAAACAGGCTGTGCCTCCCTAGCCTGTTTCCGACAGTGCCCGACTTAGCTGGGGGCGGAGTCGGAGGAGGTCCCAGTGTTGCCGAGCACGAGGGCCTCCCGCAGGCCTGGTCCCCAAGTGGAGGCCCCCACCGTGCCCAGGAGGGTCCCCATCCCCAGCTGCCTGCCGACCCTCTGGGCGCTTGGCAGCTGGGCCACCTCCCAGCTTCAGGGATAAGCGGTGCCTCTGCCCAGCCCTGCCCTGCCGCAGGGACTCTCCTCCTGCCAGCCTCCTGAGCAGCCCTCTCTGTTCCCCTGTGAGATGGAGCCAGAGCGGCTGGCAGAGCGGGAGGCTGCACCCCAGCCCCTCTGTGGGGCCACAGCCAGCCGCTGAGTGCTGAAGAACAAAAGCTATGGGGGTCTTCACCATTGAACTAACGGTGTGCTGACCCTGGGACGCAGCGACAGTCCGCAGGCCAGGCCTGAGAACCTGGGGATGTCAGAGCCCGTTCTCACCTCCAGGGGTCATCCATGCTGGCCTCCACATCTCACAGACCACTTAGGGAAACAGAGGCCCAAAGACACCAAGAACATACAAGATGAAGAGCCTGGATTCCCCGAGGCTGATCTGGACGCAGCCGTTGCTGCCCCTGCAGGTTTTGCCATCTACTCCCTGCTTTCCCTGGGACTCAAACTCCCCCAGCCCCTGCAGCCTGGGGAGGTGGGGGCAATGTCTTTCTCCTCTAATGTTTCTTTTTTTTTTTTTTTTTGAGATGGAGTCTTGCTCTGTCGCCTAGGCTGGAGTGCGGTGGCGCGATCTCAGTCACTGCAACCCCCACCTCCCGGGTTCAAGCGGTTCTCCTGCTCAGCCTCCCAAGTAGCTTAGACTACAGGTGTGCGCCACCACGCCTGGCTAATTTTTGTGTTTTTAGTAGAGACGGGGCTTCACCATGTTGGCAAGGCTGGTCTTGAACTCCTGACCTCAGGTGATCTGCCCATCTCGGCCTCCCAAAGTGCTGGGATGACAGGCGAGAACCACCATGCCTGGCCCTTTAAAGTTCATTTTAATAAGTAATTGCTACAATGCTCATCATCATAAAATCATGCTGGCCGGGCATCTGACACAGACCCATTTTTTTTTGTCTCCATTCCCATCTGCTCCATGCAACTGTTGGAGTTTTCTCCCTCAACACCTGCTAGAGGGTTAAACAAAACATACCCCCACCCAGGCTGGGGGACAAGTGACCTGGAGCACTTAGTGGGCTCCAAAGGCATCCTACCCAGAGGCCTGCCTGGTTGAGACGGCAGTGGGGGAAAAGCACAAAGAACCACCCTCAGTTTCACTAAGATTCCAGCTGTGAGGATGCTGCAACTCGACCCATCTGCCTTCCACTCTGAGAAGCTGCAGAGGCACAAGGATCCGAGGGGCTGCAGCCATCCCTGGATGGGGGTCTGTAGCCATGTTTTAAGAGTTAGAACAGCACCTGGATGGTCCAGTTGCCTTCCAGAAGAGCTGCCTGGTTGAGACGGCAGTGGGGGAAAAGCACAAAGAACCACCCTCAGTTTCACTAAGATTCCAGCTGTGAGGATGCTGCAAAGACCCCAGGGTCTCACCTTCTCAGAAGAAAAGGCAGAGCTTCCTGCCTCCCCCTCACACCCAGCTGTCTCCTACCTCAGGACCGGAATCTACAGGTTCTACAGCCTAAGGGTCCATCGAGGGCAGGGCAGGTCCTACGGATCCTGTGTTCCAGGAGGCTCCTGGCTGCAGAGAGCAGGGAGGCAGAGCCCCCAGGAGGCCGCCAGCAAGGCTGAGAAGCAGCAAGGTTGGGAACCAGGGAGGGGGAGGGCCCCAGCTACAAGGAATGCCCCTGGGCGGCAGAGGCAGGTCCCTGGGCGGAGGCTCCTGCCCTTCACACCAAGCCACACTAAAAAGGCTTTTCTGGCGTCATTAAGACACACTTCATGCTCCAATTGACTCGATGCTCTCAGAACTGGGAAATGGAGACCCAAAGAGGGCCCGTGCCGTCCAGACGGCTGACTGCGACAGCCCTGGAGTTCCTTCTGCTCTAACTCTGGCTGCTGCCGGATCTGGTCAGGGGCCCAGGGCCCAGCTGGCAAGCATGGCCAGCCCCAGGGGGGCCTCCCAGGCAAGGCTGGGAAGGGCATGAGGGAGGCAGGCAGGCAGATGGGAGGGCCAGGACCCTGCTGGGCTACCCAGCCCGCTGCTGCCCTGGGCTCCTTACCTCCCTAACTCAGGTTCTCATTGTCTGGGGACAAAAACAACACCTACCTCCTAAGGCTGCTGTAAGGATTAAATGAGATTATAATTCATGATAATTTATACAATGCATAGAGTCAACACACGGACTGCTCAGGCAATGCCACATGATAATAAACAGCTGGCAGTATGGAGATCAAATCTACTGGAACTCAGCAAGGGTAGAGCCTTGATCCCTTCCAGCCTGTCTTCCAGGTGAGGCTGGCACTGCAGCTGGGCCCCGACAGAAGTCTGTGTGCCTGGCCCTGGCCCTGGCTTGGAGGCTGCAGAGCTGGTGCACCAGCCCTGACAGAGCTCCCTTTACCTGTAGTGATAACAGCAAGCCCCTCAGACAGGCCAGCAGGGACAGCAGCAAGCCACTGCCCCACCCAACCCTTGGGCCCCCATGCCCAGAAAGATCCTTCCACTGCCAGAGGCCTGGCTTTCACTAAGGCGAGCTGGGACTAAGGTAAGCTGAGAGAGGTGACAGCTGACAGATTTAATATGAGCCCTCACCTACGTATCTCTGAGGGTTTGCGTTTTTCAAGCAATGGTGCAAAGGTGGTGGAAATGCAGGCCTAGGGGCTGGTGGCAGGAGGGAATCTACGGACTCTACAGACAGCCTGGCTTCTTTTCCGTCATGGGTCCAGCCTCAGCTTCCCCAGCTCGGGGACCTAGCAAGGGGCCAAGGCCAAATGCCGCTGTTGGCTTTCATGCGCTTGTCCCCTCTCCCACCTGAGCGGTCGCTGCAGCCACTTCCAGCCTGTGTCCTCTGCCACAGCCTCATTGCTCCAGCCTCTCTGCTCCCAGCCTGGCGGCGGCACCAACCTGAAACACAGGTTGCCTGCCTCCCCTGGTTGCCTCTCAACCCTACCATCCAGCCTGGGACCCCCCTCCACACCCCACAGGGCAGAGTCACTCACAAGCCTGGAAGAGGTCACAGCCCCTCCCACTGCAAAGCTTTCCCAGAAATTTCCCCTCAAAGCCCCCCATTGGATGACTGTGCCCAGGGCTGGGCTCCATAGGGCCGGCCCAGGGTCCAGAGGCTGAGTGGGGTCCCTCACCCTCCCACACCTGAGGTCTCCTCTTTCTCCCCCGCACCCATTGGCTTCTTCCCATCCTGTATCCCGCACCGCCCACCTCGCCCACCTTGCGCTCCAGGATGGCTTGTGTGGAGGATCAGCCTTCAGACCCCACTGGGTGATGGCGGGGAGCAAAGTGGAGGGCCTGGCCTGGCCAGGGGCAACGGGCGAGATCACTAGGTTCAGGTATGCGTTTTCCTATTGTTGGGGCTCAAAAATGATACCCCAGAAGTTTGGAGCTCTGGCATGATGAATACTTTGAATAGGAAGGCCTTAGAAGCTGCCTCAGAATCAGGGACTGAATGGCCTCTCCGTCACCCCTTCCCAACGGCAGAGACTCTCCAAAGTCCTTACAGATGACTAAGGAAACTTCTTTCTATAAGAAATGCAATTGTCTTAAGACCCCCTCCCAAGGAATCTCATTAAATAACCAGGAAAGGTTCCCCACCAACCACCGGGAGAAGACAAGAGATTCAGCCATTCTTAGTTCAACCCCTTATTTCACAGATGAGGAAACCGAGGCCCGAAAAAGAGGCTGAGGGTGCGTGGTGAGTTTAGGGACAAAGAATATGACAGCCTCGAGGTGCAAATGGCCTTGCTCAGGGCCAGCAGGTTTTGTCACTAGCGCACCGAGGGCTGCCTCCGCTGGGTCTGTTTCCTCATCTGTAAAATGGGCGTGCACAGTCAATTCGTGCCACGCGGGACTTGGTGAGAAACAATGTAAGTAAGCGGGTGGCGGGTGGCCCTGGGAAGAGCACCCCGAGACCCTAGGCTACCTAGTTCACCCTCGGCCGCCCAGCTGCGACGCCGGCGTGCAAGGATCATCCCCGCCCTACTTCGAGCCGAGGCTCTCCCGGGCTCCCAGGGGGCAGCAGCTGCGAGGGGGAAGGAGGCAGCCCCGGTCGCCCCGGGCCTTACCCTGCCAGCTCCAGAAGTAAACTCGGAAGGCTGAGGCCCCGCGCGCTGCGCGCTGCTAGTACAGCGGAGATCTGCGGCAGCTTCAGCGCGGCGCACACGCCCAGCGTGCTCCAGTTGCACAGCCCCAGCAGCGCCGCCTCCATAGCGCCACGGGTTTGGGCACCGGGGCGGCGGCAGCGGTAAAGGGCCGCTCAGCCTCGGCGGCACAGCTCTGCCGAAGCCTTCCGCCTTCCCGGGATCCGCCCGGGACCACCCAGCCAGGGCCCGCCCCTCCGCGCTCCCCCTTGCTCCGGATCCGCCTCGCTGGGCCCCTCCCCTGGACGCACCCCGCCCCCTGGCCCGCCTTGCCTAATCCGCCCGGGCTCGCCCCGCCCCCTGGCCAGCCTCATCTCGCCCCGCCCACGGGCGGCAGCCCCGCCCACAGGCCCGCCTCCCACCCGCCCGGGATGGCTCAGTTCTCGGACCCGCCTCACCTCGCCCCGCCCCCAGATTCGCCCCTCCCGGTCGGCCTCACCTAGCCCAATGCCCTGGCCAACCTCGCTCCGCCCCGTGCCTCCTCGCTCCGCCCCCTGGCCAACCTCGCCTCGCCCCGCCTCTCCTAGCCCCGCCCCTTGGCCACAGCCCCATCCTGGCCTGTGGGCTCCGCCGGCAGCTGTTTCGTTTTTCCGCCTTCTTGCGACCCGATAGTTTAGCAGCCGCCGGGAGCCGCCCCGAGGTCCGGCTTTTCAGGGATTGGGTGGACCGGGAGGCAAACGGGCACCCCCTAGGGGGATGGGCTATTCTGCGAGATTTTTCCCTCCCTACAAGTGTTTTAGTTTCTCTCACTAAGCATTTCAGGAGTTAAAGCCTCCTGCTTAAGGGCTTAAGGGCTGGGTGCACCCTCCCGATTTTACAGGTGGGGAACTGGGCTGGAGAGGCTCTCTGGGACCAGAGCCCCGGGGTCACCTCATTCGTGCCCTTTCAGAGCACGCGGCCTGTCTCCAGTCTGGGACGGAAGGCTTCCCGGCTTCCCTCCTAGCGGCGTGGGCCCTGACCTGAGAGGCTACCGGAAGCCTTGAACTTGAACACTTCACAGTGAAACTGTTTCTTAAGGATTTCTCCTGATAGAGTAACTTGGACGTGGCCGTCTAAGCCACAAACGGAGGGAGAGGGAAGGACGCATTTTCCAACCTCTGAAAATCGCCTGTGTATTAGGGCCAGGTTATGAAGCAGGAAAAAAAGCACCAAAATGCAATGCCAGAATCTATGATCGCTGGTTTTGTGCCATAAACCTCAGCCGGGAAGGGTGAGGGACCGGAGCTGGGTCAGCTTCAGAGTTTGGAGTTCTGGCCGAGGCTCTTTCTCTCGAGCCTTACCAGCGCATCACCTCCGCCTATGGAGAGAAAACAAACAAACAAACAAACAAACAAAAAACAGGTGCTGAGTCCTGTCTCCCAAGTCTAAATGAGAACAGGACGTTCAGAAGGGAACCCTTAAAGGAAATTGGCCTTGGGCCTACCCTGGCTAGGTTGATACTGATCATTATTGCCCCTGAAGCAGGAAGACTGCTTGAGGCCAGGAGTTCAAGACCAGCCTGAGCAACACAGGGAAACCCCGCCTCTACTAAAAATGCAAGAATTAGCCGAGCATGGTGGTGCATGCCTGTGGGCCCAGCTACTCAGGAGGCTAAGGCAGGAGGATGGCTTGAACCCAGGAGGCGGAGGTTCAAGATCGCGCCTCTTCACTCCAGCCTGGGAGACAGAGCCAGACCCTGTCTCAAAACAAATAAATTTTATATATATATATATAAATTTTTTGAAGAAGAAAATAGAGAAGAGCTTTTTTTTTTTTCTTTGAGACGGAGTTTCACTCTTGTCGCCCAGGCTGGAGTGCAGTGGCACGATCTCTGCTCACTGCAACCTCCACTTCCCAGGTTCAAGTGATTCTCCTGCCTCAGCCTCCCAAGTAGCTGGAATTACAGGCATGTGCTACCACGCCCGGCTAATTTTTGTATTTTTAGTAGAGACGGGGTTTCACCGTGTTGGTCAGGCTGGTCTCGAACTCCTAACCTCAGGTGATCCACCCGCCTTGGCCTCCCAAAGTGCTGGGATTACAGGCATGAGCCACCGCACCCGGCATAAAGAGCTTTTAACAAGCATCAGCAGCAATGACTACAGAAACATCTAGAACCTGTTGAGTGCCTCCTGTGTGTCAGGTGTTTTACTTTCATCATGGTATGTGGCACGTCCCTTGAAGCAAGGAGGTGGTCCTGGTTGGAAGTGTTCTGCCCCAGTCTTGGACTCTGTTTATTCCAGGGGGTGGCCAGGATCTGGGCCCCCAGGACTAGCCTTAGGAGGGAGCTGCTCCCACCTAGGGCCTAGCCTGTGCTAACATTTGGGGATGCAGGCTGCATGAGGGGCTTTTGAGAGGTATGAGTGCTCCCAGGACCACGCAGGGAATAGCCTCCTCCACTGTGGAACAAATGCTGCTACTGGTCTAGGACACTGCTCTGGGGGTCAGCTGGGTGAGGCAGGGCTGTGGAAGAGGTTTCTTCCTGGCTCCTAGATCCCTCCCTGGCTACTTTGCGTGAAGACCGGGATGGGGTGATGTGGGTGTGTGGCCCTTGGGGGTTAGGCAGATCTCAGCTATCCTCCTAGCATTGGCCCCTACAGACTGCATGATCTTGAACAGACCTTAACTTCCCTGTTTCTCGGTGTCATTTTTAAAACGGCAGAACCATCCGCCTCAGAAGGTTATTGAGAGGTACAGAATAGGTGCTCAACGGAGATGGTCATACCCCACCAGGTGCAAACTAGCAAAACCTTTTTGGGATTTGTGGGCACTGGCTTTGTTCCTGAAGCTGTGTGGGGATGGGGGCGGTCCTAGGGGGAGCCAGGTTTGGGCCATGCAGGCAGGCATTTGGGTCTCAGCCCCTATGCCCAGCGATACATCACAAGAGCATGCCAGCTCTTCTGCTCAGAGGATAACCTCAAAACGGCTATCTGTGAGGCTCCTCTGTTGCTTCAGGAGGTTGGGGAGTGTCTGGACGGGGGTCTCTACAGTGCACACTCACTGGGATATCTCTGGAGGACAAGATAGTGCCCCCGTGTTAGAGACCTCTGCCTCCTCCCCAGCTACATGGCAGCACGGTCACAGTCTGTTACAGGACCTGACCCCACTCCTGGGCCACAGCCGCACAGAGTGAATCAGCTCCCTGAGTGAAGCTGGCCACAGAGTCTCATTGAAACCGCCTTTGCAAAAATTATAACAGGAAATTATGACAGTGAAAGAGATCAGACCTAACTGACTCCATCTTGCTGCTAACCTTTAAGCTGTCCTGGTTCCTTCCTGGGCATAGGCTGAACCAACCTTGTGAAGGAATTTAGTTTATGATTTGACTCTGAAACAAAATTAATAATAGCGCTTTCCTGAAAAGACCACCTTTGTGCCTTGGGACCTGTCTGCCTTTGTAGGACTAACAAATTACCTACAAGATTAGAAATTACAGTTTAGGGTCATGCAGGCTCTGGCTGCAAGAGTCTGAACCTTCCCAAATTGCTCCTGGGGATCACATCACTATTGTAAAACTTAAGATCAGTGCTTGAGATATTTTGCAGACTCTGCACTGGATGGATCAGCTGACACCACCCAGACCAATTATTTGGCTCAACCAGTTCTGCAGTCCCGGCTCAGGAACAGAAGACAGCAAGAAAATTTCACTTCGACCCCCCACCCCCACCCCGCCTATGATTCCATCTCCATCCTGACCAATCAGCACATTCCACTTCCCAAGCCCCTACCGGCCAAATTATCTTTAAAAACTTCCATTCCCAGTCTGAGTGTGGTGGCTCACGCCTGTAATCCCAGCACTTTGGGAGACCGAGGTGTGCGGATCACCTGAGGTCAGGAGTAAGAGACCAACCTGGCCAACATGGCAAAACCCCGTCTCTACTAAACACACAAAAATTAGCCAGGCGTGGTGGCGGGCGCCTATAATCCCAGCTACTCTGGTGGCTGAGGCAGGAGAATCGCTTCAATCCGGGAGGCACAGGTTGCATTGGGCTGAGATCATGCCACTGCACTCCAGCTTGGGTGACAGAGTGAGACTCCGTCTCAAACAAAACAAAACAAAACAAAAAAACAAAAACAAAAACACGAAACTTCCATCCCCGAATGCTCTGCTCAGAGAGACTGATTTGAGTAATCATTAAACTCTGGTCTCCCGCACAGCTGGCTCTGTGTGAATTACTCTTTCTCCATTGCAATTCCCGTCTTGATAAATCGGCTCTGTCTAGGCAGCGGGCAGGGTGAGCTCTTTAGGTGGTTACACCTTCATGTGGGAACACGGAATTGAGCAGAAACTGATTCCAAACCTCCCCCAACCTCACTTCCCCACTCTTCAACAGAGGAGATGTGAACTCAAGAGCCATTGGTGGTGCCAGTAAACCCAAAATATCTGAGACAAGTCTCAACCAATTTAAAAGTTTATTTTGCCAAGGAGGTCCCGATGACAGGTGCCCAAGGTGGTTGGGGTACAGCTTGCTTTTGTCCATTTTAGGGAGACATGAGACATGAATTAATATATGTAAGATATACTCTGGTTCCGTCCAGTAAGGCAGGACAGGTCGAAGACGGGGGCTTCCAGGTCATAGGTAGATAAGAGACAAAAGCTTGCATTCTTTTGAGTCCTTCATCAGCCTTTCAGTGAATACATAATCTAGTCTGGCTCAGTGACTCTTCATTTTTACATAAACAGTAGGTCTGAGGAAGCAATCAGATAAGCATTTCTCTTGGGTGAGCAGAGGAATGATTTTTCTGTCCTGCACCTGTTAAGATCAGCTATCAGTTTACATTGCCAGGGTGAAATGCAACAGAACTGTTTCACGGTAAATATATATATATATATATTTAATTCTTGGCATGATCCTGAATAGGGTAAAGATCTTGAGGCCCACAAGGAATTCCCTTGTGGGCAAATTGTGAGGGAGGCATGTAGCTTTTTTATCTTTATAGCCACCTTATTCAGGAATTAAAATGGGAGGCAGGATCCCAGCTTGACTTTTTCCTTAGCTTAGTGATTTTGGAGTTGAGATTTATTTTTCTTTCACAGTGGCCATTCTCCCACCTTCATTTTAAAATAAATTCCTAAACCGCCGGGCACAGTGGCTCACACCGTGTAATCCCAGCACTTTGAGAGGTGGAGGCCGGCAGATCACGTGAGGTCAAGAGTTCAAGACCAGCCTGGCCAACATGGTGAAACCCCGTCTCTACAAAAATACAAAAATTAGCCAGGCATGGTGACGGGTGACTGTAATCCCAGCTACTCTGGAGGCCGAGGTAGGAGAATCGCTTGAACCTGGGAGGCGGAGGTTGCAGTGAGCCAAGATGGCACCACTGCACTATAGCCTGGGCGACAGAGCGAGGCTGCGTCTCAAAAGAAAAAAAATCCGGCCGGGCGTGGTGGCTCATGCCAGTACTCCCAGCACTTTGGGAGGCCGAGGCAGGTGGATCACGACGACAGGAGATCGAGACCATCCTGGCTAACATAGTGAAACACCGTCTCTACTAAAAAAAAAAAAAAAATAATGGGCGTGGTGGCGGGCGCCTGTAGTCCCAGCTACTCAGGAGGCTGAGGCAGGAGAATGGCATGAACCCGGGAGGTGGAGCTTGCAGTGAGCCGAAATCGTGCCACTGCACTCCAGCGTGGGCAACAGAGCGAGACTCCATCTCCAAAAAAAAAAATTTCTAAACACGAATTTTTCGTTAAGCTACTTGCAGGTTTCTTATATATATCATGGCACTTTTCGGCAAACACCTAAGAACAAGGGCTTTCGGCTGGGCACAGTGGCTCATGCCCGTAATCCCAGCACTTTGGAAGATTGAGGTGGGTGGATCATGAAGTCAAGGGTTTGAGACTAGCTAAGCCAACATGGTGAAACTCCATCTCTACTAAAGATACAAAAAATTAGTTGGGCATGGTGGCACGTGCCTGTAATCCCAGCTTCTCGGGCAGCTGAGGCAGGAGAATCACTTGAACCCAGAAAGTGGAGATTACAGTGAGCCAAGATTGTGCCATTGTACTCCAGCCTAGGCAATGGGGTGAGACACTGTCTTAAAACACACACACACACACAGGCTTTCTTCTGCAGTCTCAATGGAATCACCACACTCTGCACTTTCTTGCTGATACAATAGTGTTAGCTAACATTTATCTGCAAAGCGTCCTTTAGAGCTGCTTTTCGTGACCCAGGATCCAGTCAAGGATCACGGACTGAATCACTTCAGCCTTCCTTTAGACTTTTCTGACATTGACGTTTATTTATTTTTTGACACAAGGTCTCATTCTGTCACCCAGGCTGGAGGGCACTGGTGAGATCACAGCTCACTGCAACCTTGACTTCCCGGGCTCAGGTGATTCTCCCATCTCAGCCTCCCAAGTAGCTAGGACTACAGGCATGAATCACCACACCTGGCTAATTTTTTGTGTTTTGTTAGTAGAGATGCTATGTCCGGAATCGGTGGGTTCTTGGTCTCACTGACTTCAAGAATGAAGCCACGGACCCTCACAGTGAGTGTTACAGTTCTTAAACATGGTGTGTCTGGAGTTCACCCTTTCAGACATTCAGATGTGTCCAGAGCTTCTTCCTTCCGCTGGGTTTGTGGTCTCGCCAACAGGAGAAGTGCCACAGACCTTCCCAAGTGCTACAGCTTTTAAAGGCAGTGGGGACCCAAAGAGCAAAACAACAGACCTCCCACAGCGTGTGAAGGGAACTCCAGCACATGGCCACTGCTGGCTCCGGCAGCCTGCTCTTATTCCCTTATCTGACCCCACCCACATCCTGCTGATTGGTCTATTTTACAGAGAGCTGATTGGTCCATTTTGACAGAGTGCTGATTGGTGCGTTTACAATCCTTTAGCTAGACGCAGAATACTAGACAGAAAAGTTCTCCAAGTCCCCACTAGGTTAGCTAGATACAGACTACTGATTGGTGTATTTACAAACCTTGAGCTAGACACAGGAGGCTGATTGGTGTATTTACAAACCCAGAGCTAGACACAGTGCTGAGTGCGTCCAACATCCTTTAGCTAGACACAGAGTGCTAGACAGAGAAGTTCTCCAAGTCCCCACTAGGTTAGCTAGATATAGAGTACTGATTGGTGTATTTACAAACCTTGAGCTAGACACAGAGTGCTGATTGGTGCGTTTACAATCCCTTAGCTGTGTACAATCCCTTAGCTAGACATAAAGGTTTTCCAAGTCCCCACTAGACTCAGGAGCTCAGCTGGCTTCACCCAGTGAATCCCGCACCGGGGCTGTAGGCCAAACTGCCCGCAAGTCCCGCACCGTGTGCCCGCACTTCTCAGCCCTTGGGTGGTTGATAGGACCCGGCCGCAGAGCAGGGGGTGTCGGCCGCACAGGAGCCCACCGCAGAGGTGGGGGCTCAGACATGGCGGGCTGCAGGTCCCAAGCCCTGTCCAGTGGGGAGGCAGCTGAGGCCCAGCAAGAATTTGAGAGCAGTGCATGCCGGCCGGCAGTGCTGGGGGACCCGGTGCAACCACCACAGCTGCCGGCCCGGGTGCTAAGCCCCTCACTGCCCTGGGCTGGGGCCCCCTCCACACCTCCCGAGCAAGCAGAGGGAGCTGGCTCCGGCCTCAGCTAGCCCAGAGAGGGGCTCCCACAGTGCACTGGTGGGCTGAAGGGCTCCTCAAGCACCACCAGAGTGGATGCCCAGGCTGAGGAGGCGCCGAGAGTGAGGGCTGCTAGCACATTGTCACCTCTCAATGCAGTTTCAGCATGTTGTACAGGCTGGTCTCAAACTCCTGAGCTCAAGCCATATGCCTACCTCAGCCTCCGAAAGTGCTGGCATTATGGGTGTGAGTCACAGCGCCTGGGCAGACATTGACATTTTTGAAGAATCAAGGCCAACTCTTTGGCAGAATGTTTCTCAATTTGGGTTTGCTGAGAGTTTCTTCCTGATTACACTCTAGTTACTTTTTTTTTTGGCAGGAGTGCTTCCTCAGTGAAGTAGGTAGCGTTGTTTTCAGTGAACCACACCAGGGGAGCACAGTGTCAGCTGTCCTGTTATTGGTGAGGTTTGGCTTAATAGTTTGGTTAAGGCAGTATCTTCTAGATTTCAGCATTTACCGTTCCCTAAGAATCTTTCAGTCATTTTAGTGTCTTTTATTGACTCTTGCCTAAATCAGTTATTGCTGTGAGTCATTAAATGGTGATTTTTCTATTATCGTTTATTCTGCATTCTTCAATCGAAAATAGTTTTCATGGCCTGGTGCGGTAGCTCATGCCTGTAATCCCAGGACTTTGGGAGGCCGAGGCAGGTGGATCACCTGAGGTCAGGAGTTCGAGAACAGCCTGACCAACATGGAGAAACCCTGTCTCTACTAAAAATACAAAAATTAGCTGGGTGTGGTGGTACATGCTTGTAATCCCAGCTACTCAGGAGGCTGAGGCGGGAGAATTGCTTGAATCTGGGAGGCGGAGGGTGTAGTGAGCCGAGATGGCACCATGGCCCTTCATCCTGGGCAACAAGAGTGAAACTCCATCTCAAAAAAGAAAAAAAAAAGTGAAGCAAGTGTCCCTCCAGGCTCGTTACGGCTCTCGGCTCTTGATTCCAGTCCTTTTCCTGAAGCCCAGCTGTCTTCTGGTCCATGGTCTCCAAGTGCCCATCTCTTTATTGGTAACACCCCCTTTTCCTTTTGCTGGCACTGACACTGCAGGCTTGGTGCCCACTTCTTTGTGACCTCCTAGCCCATCCACCCTCCCTTGTTCTGGCCCAAACGAGCTGAAAGGCTGGCGTTGGGATTTCACTGCAGATGCCCGTCTGTCCTGGTTTCCTGGGCTCCCAGTGGGTGAAATGGGGAAGGTTAGAAGCAGGCATCTTCTTGAAAAGAAGGCAGATGTGGCAAGGAGCAGAGAGTGGGTGGGCCTGGTTGTGAGGATGGTTTTGGTGTGATGACAGGTCATTGCAGAGTACAGAAAGCATTTCTGCATGCAGAAGCCTTCGGCGTGCCTGCACGGTTCTGTTGAGCCCTTGAGCCCTGGTGATGTGCCATGAGAAAATCATGCCCCAGGAGGCTTTCAGTCCAAGAGAATGAGAGACATGCACAAAATACTTGAACCTAACCTGAAATGTGGAGGAAAGTCTAGCCAAGTCCAGCCAAAATCACCTGAGCCCCAGCTACATGCAGACCTGTGAGCAACAAAGGGGATGTTTTGTTATACAGCATTATCATAGCTGACTAATGCACTCTGTGAAAGAATTCAAACCCCTTTTTTCTTCAGTACTCCCTGAATGCTCAAAGAAGAGAATCCTGGAGCTGGAGATGCCCTTAAATCTGTCTTCTTCCCTTCTCCCCTCATTTTATAACTGTGGAGACTGAGACCTGGAGCGGGGAAGGCAGCACGGAGAAGTCACACATGAGATGGATCCTGGCCCTTCACTAGTTGTGAGACCCTGACCAGATTGAATGAAGTCTTTGGCTTAGTTTCCAAACCTCTCAAATGGTGACAATTATAATACATGCAAAAGACACAATGTTGGTAATGTGCCAAGCCCAGAGTCTGTGCTTATAGGTTACATTGTCTGTAAGTGGCTGTGCTTCCAGGAGTGGCAGAACCGGCACAGGTCCATGGCCCTCCTCACTGCCCTCCTGGGCACTCAACGATTCCCTCCCCTCTGCACAGGCCTGACCACCTGCAGCCATCCTTAACCTCGACTTTTCTAGTGCCTCTCTCTCTCTCAAATGGAAATCTTGATTTTGAGTGTGAGAATAATATAAGGCAGACTCAGGGCAAAAACATAGATTGGGTCTTTAAGGAGCCTCCAGCATCTTTGTACCCACCCAGTCCGAGGGCAAGCACTTGACCTTCATGGGATGCTGCCAGGATGTGACCAGGACCCCTGGCTATCCTGGCCACTGATCTTTGCCCAGCTGATGATCTCAGAGTGGAGAGGGAGCCCAGCTTTCATGTCAGACACTGAGAAAGAAGGCGGTGGCCTCCAGATCCAAGTAGGAAGGGTTGGGCCTCTTCCTGGCCAAGTTACATTGGGCCTGGTCTGCTCCATCACACAGTCGCGCAGGGCCAGGGTGTGGCATGAGGCATAGGGGCTGTTGCATGGAAATAATGTGTCCTGTCCTGTGTACCTGGAAACACCAATGATCTATTCTTGGTGGTAGTAGGGATCCTGGAGATTGGAAAAAATCAGTTTTCCCTTTCTTAAGGATCAAGTGACTTTCTTTAAGCAGAAAAATACTGTAATTTGCTAAATTTGGGGGAATCAATTTATTGAGGATTAAAGGGGACCCATATAGCATAGTGCTTAAGTATATAGTCCTTGGAGCCAGACTCAACTGCCAAGTCTGAACTCCAGCTTCACCACTTGCCAGCTGTGTGACCTTGGGCAAATGACTTAACCTCTCTGTGCTTTAGTTGCCTCATTTATAGGAGTATCTATCTCATAGGGTTGCTGAGAGGATTAAATGAGTTAATTCATGCAAATAACAGTGACATTTAGCTACTGCCAAATAAGACCCAAGCAAGCATCAAAGACAGAGCAGTCATTTCAGCCCCTGCCCCATTTTTCTCTCTTTTCTGGAGGCCATGGCTGAGGTCCTGCAGAGGACACTGGGCTTCAAGCTTGAGGCCTGGCATTAATGTATGTTTGGGATTTTATTTCACCTCTCTGAATCTCAGGTTTAGCCTGTATTAACTGAATATAAAATCCCTGAATATGATTCCCTTAGGTTGTTGAGAAAATACATTTAAAATGCTTTACCCTAGAAGTGTGGGCTATTGTTTTCGTTTTGGTCAGTTTTTGTTTATTTTGTTTGTGTGTCAGTGTGGGTGTAGGGAGATTCTGCTCCATGAGCTCACTCAGGGCTCCAGGTGTGGGCCTGACATGCTCCCTCCATCTTGTGCCCATCTTTTCCCTGCATCCTCCAAGTCCTCTCCCTTCTTCAGCTGATGGGGAAAGGAGAACAAGCCAATACCTGGAGTGTCTCATGGACCAGACCTGGAAGGGAGACCTAGGGTTTTTGCTCCCATTCCACTGGCCATGGCTCTGTCACATGCTCCACCCAAACCAAGGGAAAACACAGCCTAGCAGAGCGCCCAGGAAGAAGAGGAGAATGCAAATGTTTGAAAGAATGAATCCATTTGTGTTTTAACCAACAAAGAGGAACTAAGCCTTTTCTGCATTTTTTGCTTAAATATGAAGGTTGTGATATAATCACAAGGATCCTTAAAAGATGGAGGAGTGAAGCCAGATGCCTGTAATCCCAGTGCTTTGGAAGGCCAAGGTGGGAGGATCATTTGAGCCCAAAAGTTCAAGACCAGCCTGGGCAACCTAGTGAGACCCTATCTCTACATAAAATTTCAAAAATTAGCCAGGTATGGCTAGGCGCGGTGGCTCACACCTGTAATCCCAGCACTTTGGGAGGCTGAGGCAGGTGGATCACCTGAGGTTGGGAGTTCAAGACCAGCCTGACCAACATGGAGAAACCCTGTCTCTACTAAAAATACAAAAAATTAGCTGGGCATGGTGGCACATGCCTGTAATCCCAGCTACTCAGGAGGCAGAGGCAGGAGAATTGCTTGGACCTCGGAGGCGGAGGTTGTGGTGAGCCAAGATCATGCCATTGCACTCCAGCCCAGGTGATAATGGGAGTCTCTGTCTGGAAAAAAAAAAAAAAAAGAGAGAGAGAGAGAGAGAAGATGAAGGAGTGAGGCAGGAGAGAGCGAGCGATAGAGACTGATTTGAAGATGCTAAGATGCTGGCATTGAAGATGGAGTAAGGAGCTGCAAGCTAAGGAATGCAGGCTGCCTTGAGAAACTGGAAAAAATGTGGAAATAGATTCTTCCCCAGATCCTCCTAAAAGAGCACAGCTCTGCAACATGTCGATTTTGGCCCAATGACACCCATGTCAGGGTTGTGATCTTCAGAGCCGTGAGATGACACATTTGTGTTGTTTTAAGCTATGCAGTTTGTGGTCACTTGTCACAGTAGCTGCAAGCAGAGAACACACCGATCGCAGGAGGGGAGACGGAGGCACAGAGTGTTGCAGCAGCCAGCTCAAGGTCCCACAGCTCATCAGAGCCAGGAGCTGGATTTGAACCCAGGCATTCAGTGCTCCAGACCACAATGCAGGATCCCTTTCATGGGGCACCCATGGGTTCTCAAGATGGAAAGGCTGGGGGTTGTATGGCCGTGGGCCAGTTACTGAGTCCTCTGAATCTCACGTGTAAAAACTGTGTAAGAGTGACCCCATGGAGCCCAACGGAAGAGCGTCCTGCAGCTTAGAGACAGTGCAGACCCAAGCTGCCTTGTGTGGGTTGCTGACTGGTGCTGTCGTGGGCCGGATCTCTTGTCCCCACCCACACCCACCTGGGGAAGGCCAGCCCAGCCCTCCTTGCTCCTAGATGGGCTGCATCTCATCCTCCAGCTTCTTCTTCCGGGCTCCTTCGGTGAAGAAGAAGTCCATGCGGATGAGAGTCTGTCCCAGGGGCGTGTCCAGCCTGCTACCCACAACCTGGTTCGTGGAACTGGGAACTGTGTCCGAAAAGAGAGGCACATGGTCTGGCAACTTCTCAGGCTCCTTCTTGTTGCCCTGAGGAGAGGGGACAGCTCGGATTACACAGAGCGTGGAAAAAGGAGGACCTTAGGATGGGAGAAAACAGAGCAGAGAGCAGGTGCCTCTCTGTGTGAAGCATCTCCAGGTGATTCAATCCTGGTTTGGACATGGGATCCCCCAAGAGTGACCCGATGCCACAGCCTCTGCCAAGCTTGTCCCTCCTCTTCCTCCACTTCCCCTTCCCCAGGTGCCTCCCAGATCCCTTAACTTTTATGCTGCGACCTGCAGAGATCAAGGGAAGGATCAGGTCTCATTCCCCTTTCTACCCCAGGACTAAGACGCCGTTTTACATCTGGTGGGAGGTTTTGATTTTTGTTTTTGTTTTTTGGTAAATTTGTACTTAGAGTATAACATTCACACAGAAAAGTGCACAAGCCTTCACTGTCCAGCTTGACAAATGTTCACAAAGTGAAGATGCCCATGTACCCAACCAGATCAAGGGGTATGATCCCCTCCCCTGCCTCCTTTCAGCCCCTCAACCCCTGTCTCTGCTCCCAAGGCAACCTGACCTTGACCTCTAATGCCACACATTAGCTTTGCCTGGGTTTGAACTTTACATTAGTGAAATCATGGCTTTCCTGTCTGGCTTCTTTCTCTCAAAATACAAAAATTAGTTGGGTGTGGTGGCGCATGCACGTAGCCCCAGCTACTCAGGAGGCTGAGGTGGGAGGATCACTTGAGCCTAGGAGGTTGAGGCTGCAGTGAGCCATGATCATGCTACTATAGTCCAGCCTGAGAGACAGTGAGACCACGTTTTGAAAAAAAAAAAAAAAAAATCTGACAAGTGGGAAAACATCCTCAGCTCTTCCTGCCCCTGTTTAGGGTTACCTTTCTGCTACCCTGTGTCTAAGAGAAGTGACATGACCTGGCAAGTAAGGAGATCCTGGCTTTCACCTGGCAAAGTCCATGCTGAGGTGGCTCCACCCTCTGGTCATGATGCAGATTTCAGTAGTCAGGTTGCTATCACATAGCCCTTAGGAGGGAGAGACTCTTACAGGCTGGAAGCCCAGACCAGATGCACAGGGCGGGATATCAGGTCCCATGAGCTGAATTTCCCTCCGGAATAGACAGCAACAAGCCCAGCAGGTCCACAATGCAGGCATTAAACCTTTCCTCAACCTGGCAGGGTCCAGGTAAGCATGGCCACCCGCCTCGAGTGACTGTCCACATTGCTTATCTTCCAGGTTGGTCCTTTGACCATCCCCCCCTTTTTTTTTTTTTTTTTGAGATGGAGATTCACTCTTGTTGCCCAGGCTGGAGGGCAATGGTGCCATCTCGGCTCACTGCAACCTTCGCCTCCCAGGTTCAAGCGGTTCTGCTTCCTCAGCCTCCCAAGTAGCTGGAATGACAGGCATGCACCACCACACCTGGCTAATTTTTGTATTTTTAGTAGAGATCGGGGTTTCTCCATGTTGATCAGGCTGGTCTTGAACTTCCAACCTCAGGTGATCCACCTGCCTTGGCCTCTCAAAGTATCGAGATTACAGGCGTGAGCCACCGCGCCCAGCTGACCATCCTTTTAATAGTGAGATCCATCTTTTCATTCACTCATTCATCCAGCATGAACTGAATGTTCACTTTTTTATGGTCTCTGGGGGATGGGGCAAATGCTAGGGTTGTGACAGGGTGCAGTGATGAATTCATATTCATCTTTTCTCTTTTTAAAAAATAATGTTATTTTTTGTAGAGACAGGGTCTCCCTATGTTGCCCAGGCTGGTCTTGAACTCATGGGTCCAGGTGATCCTCCCACCTCAGCCTCCCCAAGTGCGGGGATTACAGTCATGGGCTACCATTCCTGGCCTCATCCTTTCTCTTAAGGAGTTCACAGCTGGTGAAATTGGGCATTGCAGTATTACATTACATAGAATACCAAAATAACGGGTGAGATATGCTGGTGAATCAAAGGAAGGAGTGATCTGGTCAAGCCTACCCAGGAAGGGGAGATTCCCCAGAAAAGGAGGCACTGCAGCAGGGTCTTGAAGAGTGAATAGGAGTCCATCAGGCTGACCAGGTGGGAAGGACATTCCAGCAGGGGACCAGCATGCCCAAAGGCATGGATAATAGAGTGTTGTGGGGGCTGAGTGTGGTGGCTCATGCCTGTAATCCCAGCACTTTGGGAGGCCAAGGCAGTTGGAAAATTGAGGTCAGGAGTTCGAGACCAGCCTGGCTAACATAGTGAAACCCCCTCTCTACTAAAAACACAAATATTAGCCAGGCATGGTGGTGTGCACCTATAATCTCAGCTACTCAGGAGGCTGAGGCAGGAGAATCGCTAGAATCCAGGAGGTGCAGGTTGCTGTGAACTGAGATTACACCACTGCACTCCAGCCTGGGCAACAGAGTGAGACTCCATCTTAAAAAAAAAAAAAAAAAAAAGAGTGTGTTGTGAGGTCTGCGTGGGGTGGGTAATGAGACTGGGGAGATAGATAGTTTAGATCACAGGAGGCTTTGTAAGCTACCTGAAAACTTCAGACTTACTGAAGCATTTTAATCAGGGGAGCTACATGGCCAGTTCTGCCATTTAGGGAAATCAGTGTGGTGGCGAAGTGGAGGATAGATTGCAGGTGGTGATACTAGAGTCAGGGAATTTGTTTACAAAGTATTTTTACCCAATCTCATTGCCCTTCTTGGGCACGCCACACAGATATGACTACACATTGCTGACATCCTCAGTCAGGGGAGACATTTCAGCAACAGATGCCTGTCATTTCTAATTGGTTCATCTTAATAAAACTAAGAAACACTGAAGGAAACAAATTTCTAAATGCTTCATATAACTTTTCTTTCCAATGGACCCAAGGAATGCAATTCCTTGAAACAAGAGTGTATTTTACTCATCTCTGCACATCCAGCATCTAGTCCAGAGTAGATCTTCAATAAATGTCAGTTGAATGATGGAAAGAATGAATAATATTCAATCGCAAGTATGTTTGGCAGGAACATATTTTTCCTTACCATTGAGTCATAGTCTTTCAGGAAACTCCAGTTCTGAACCCTGGAAAGGAAAAGCATGTTGGCTGTGTGAGTTCCTTCCAGGACATTTTTACCAATGACTTTCACTGTGTCAAGTCAATGCAACGATGTATCACATGGAAGAACTAAATAATTTTTTTTTTTTTTTTTCTGAGAGGGAGTCTCGCTCTGTTACCTAGGCTGAAATGCAGTGGCGCAATCTCAGCTCACTGCAACCTCTGCCTCCCGGGTTCAAGCAATTCTCCTGTCTCAGCCTCCGAAGTAGCTGGGACTACAGATGCGTGCCACCACACCTGGCTAATTTTTGTATTGTTAGTGGAGATGGGGTTTCACCACATTTGTAGGCTGGTCTTGAATTCCTGACCTCAGGTGGTTCACCCACCTCGGCCTCCCAAAGTGCTGGGATTACAGGCATGAGCCACCATGCCCAGCCAGAACAAAATAATTTTTAAGTGAAACAAATGCCAAGTGCCAAGCAGGTATTGATGGTGTATCCCACCAAAAGAACAAACATTTCAATTTCCAATGACTTTTCCTAGAATGACAACTATGACGTTGCTATGGTAGGACTGCCTAAGCAAGCAAAGGCTACAATCTCACCCTGCCTCTGTGCATTTTCAGAAGGCTACAGTAGGCAAGCATTCTCTGAAGAAAAAAGTTTTCACGTCCCCAAACCTTTGTAACCTTCCAATGTGAGTGACAGAGGAAGGCTAGGGAGGAGTAGGAAAAGGGAGGGACCATAAGGATAGTATTACCTTGCACTGGTCATTTAGTTTTACTTGAATCTAATTTTAAAAAGTCAAACAATTCTACAAAACATAATAAAAACAGCCTTCTCTGTCCCCCTCCTCACAGCCCCTGAGCCTCACATCTTAGCGTCAAACCTTTGCCAGCCTTTTAGCTGTTTCTTCAGGCCTTTGCGTCCGTATTTTGAAATAATAGGATTCTACTGCTGTATTACGTCATTCTTGCCTTGCTATAAAGAATACCTGAGACTGGGTAATTTATAAAGAAGGTGTAGGCTAGGCGCGGTGGCTCACTCCTGTAATCCCAGCACTTTGGGAGCCCGAGGTGGGTGGATCACCTGAGGTCAGGAGTTCAAGACTAGCCTGGCCAACATGGTGAAATATTAGCCAGGCATGGTGGCGGGCTCCCGTAATCCCAGCTACTAGGGAGGCTGAGGCAGGAGAATTGCTTGAGCCCGGGAGGTGGAGGTTGCAGTAAGCAGAGATCGAGCCACTGCACTCCAACCTGGGCGACAGAGTGAGACTCCATCTGAAAAAAATAAATAAATAAAAATAAAGAAGGTGTAATCGGCTCACAGTTCCACAGGCTGTACAGGAAGCAGGATGCTGGCATCTGCTTAGCTTCTGGGTCAGTCTCAGGAAACTTACAATCATGGTGGAAGGCAAAGTGGCAGCATGGCCAGAGCAGGAGCAAGAGCGAGAGAAGGGAAGTGCCACACACTTTAAAAGAACCAAATCTGGTGAGAACTCCCTACTGTGAGGACAGCACCATGGGGATGGTATAGACCATTTATGAGAAACTGACCCCATGATCCAGTCGCCTTCCACCGGGCCCCACCTCCAACAGTGGGGATTACAATTCAGCATGTGATTTGGGTGGGGACACAGATCCAAACCATATCCCCTGCTGTTCCTTAATATTTTCTAAAATTTAAACTTATCTATCGACTTCCTATTATAGGAGATGAAGAGTTAGCATTCTTACTCCTGCCCTTCCCTTTGTTCTTTCAAAATCATTATAGATCTTGGTTAAATTGATATATGTCATTTTGATTCTTATGGTTATGTAAATGTTATTCCCTGATGAACTAAGGAGTGCAATATACCCCAATTCTGTTCTTGTATAACCTTGTATTCCTTCTAGAGCTAACAGAGAAATTACATTTCCTGCCAATTTTTTTTAGGCTTCTATGTACTGATCATTGATTCCAGATGTTCCAATAAAACTGAAAAGTCCCTCTCAATATTATTTTCTACACTGTCATGTGCATCAGATAATAAACATTCCTTTAAAACCTTTCTTAGCCTCCTCGGAAGCCCCGTGTCCTCCTGCTCCCACTGGCCTGGCCGTGCCTCAAGATCACAGGCTGGTCCCTTCCTTCACCAACACGCTGGCATCCCCCTCTTTGGGAATTCCATGTCTTATTTTCTTGTTAATGCACCTGTTTTTGTGGAACACCTACTCTAGTATCTGTGGACTCCTGCATTTCTTTGGTTCTGGAAAATTCTCACTTACTTTCTCTTTAGACATTTTCTCTCTCCCATTCTCTCCTTTGGGAGTTTTGATTAAGGATAGGTTGGAGCTTCTTGTTCAGTTTCTCTACATTTTTAATTTGTCATTTGTGTTTTCTGTCTTGATTTTCCGAATAATTTCTCCTGTCTTGAGTTTATGAAGTCTGACTTCAGTTGTGTCTTATATTTCAACTTTATATATTTTTATTGCTACAAGTTCTTTTTGTTTTTTGGTTTCTTTGAGATGGAGTCTCACTCTGTCACCCAGGCTGGAGTGCAGTGGCACAGTCTTAGCTGACTGCAGCCTCTGCCTCCCGGGTTCAAGCAACTCTGCCTGCCTCGGCCTCCTGAGTAGCTGGAATTACAGGTGCATGCCATCATGCCTGACTAGTTTTTGTATTTTTAGTAGAGATGGGATTTCACCATGTTGGCGAGGCTGGTCTCGAACTCCTGATTTCAGGTGATCAGCCTGCCTCAGCTTCCCAAAGTGCTGGGATTACAGGTGTGAGCCATTGTTCCCGACCTCTTGTTTCATTTTTCAAAGCAACACTAGAACACTTAAGCTATGTGTCTGGCTCACATTGTGTTTCTGTCAGGCAGCACTGCCTTACACATTCCTCTTTGGGCTTTCCAGACCTTGCAAAACTCTTTCCCCTTGGTCTTTACACCTCCTTATGCCCCTGGCTTTCTTCTCTGGTGTTTCCTGGCAGCATCGCTGCCTTTCTAGTAAACATTGCAAGTTCTGTCCTGCATCCTCACCTCTTCTGATCCACTGTGCTCTTCTGGGGAGAGCTTATTCACATCGCTGGGGCCAATGCCCACCCGTTTCCTGCTAAAACTGAGATAGAATTCGCATTCCATAAGATTCACTTTTTAAAGCACACAATTCAATGACTTTAATATATTCACGGAGTTGGGCAACCACATCACCACTTTCTGATTCCAGAACATTTCATCACCCACAAAACACCTTATGTCCATCCACAGCCAGTCCTCATTCTCCCCTTCTGGACGGGTTTTTAATGCGCAACTCCTGACTCTCACACTCAACTACCTCCTGGCAGCTCCATCTAGACATGGTTCGGACATTTAAAACTCACCAGAACTCAGCATCTTCATCATTTATCTTCTCCTCCCTATTAATTATTCAAGCTGAGACCTGTCATCCTTTATTCCTTCCTCACCTTTCCTCCCACATTTACTCAGTTTGTAAATATTTTCTGTCATTCTGTAGGTTGCCTTTTCACTCTGTTCATTGTTGCCTTTCACTCTGTTAATTGTTGCCTTTGCTGTGCAGAAGTTTTTCATATGCAAAAGAATGAAGTTGGATCCTTTCTAACATGATACATACCAATCCACTCAAAAACATAGAAGGAAGCTTCATAACATTGGGCTTGGCAATTATTCCATGGATATGCCACACAAAGGACAGGAAACAAAAGCAGATAGACAGATGGGATGACATCAAACTCAAAAACTTCTGAAGAGCAAAGGAAACAAGCAACAAAGTGAAAAGGCAACACACAGAATGGGAGACAACATTTACAGATCATATTTCTGATAAGGAGTTAATTTCCAAAATGTATAAGGAACTTCTACAACTTAGTAGCACAAAACCAAACAACCCAATTGAAAAAATGGGTTAAAGACTTGAATAGACATTTCTCCAAAGAAGATAAATAAATGGCCAATAAATATATGAAAAGATTATCAATGTCACTCATCATCAGAGAAATGCAAATCAAAACCACAGAGGTCAAACACGGTGGCTCATACCTGTAGTCCCAACACTTTGGGAGGCTGAGGCGTGTGGATCATCTGCTGTCAGGAGTTCAAGACCAGCCTGGCCGGAGCTTGCAGTGAGCTGAGATCGCACCACTGCACTCCAGCATGGGTGACAGAGCAAGACTCCGTCTCAAAAAAAAAAAAAAAAAAAGACCAGCCTGGCCAACATGGTAAAAACCTGTCTCTAATAAAAATACAAAAATTAGCCAGGAGTAGTGGAGGGCATCTGTCATCCCAGCTACTTGGGAGGCTGAGGCAGGAGAATTGCTTGAACCTGGGAGGCAGAGGTTGGAGTGAGCCGAGATCACGCCACTGTACTCCAGCCTGGGTGACAGAGTGAGACTTCATCTCAAAACAAAACAAAATAAAAAATCACAATGAGATACCACCTCACACCTATTAGGATGGTTGTTATCAAAAACCAAAAGACAATCAATGAGTGTTGGCCATTGTGTGGAGAAACTGGAATGCTGAGATACTGCTGATGGGAATGCAAAATGGTGCCACTGCTATGGAAAAGACAATGGAGGTTCCTCAAAAAATTAAAAATAGAGGTAGCATATAATCCTGCAATCCCTCCGATACGGTTTGAGTGTTTGTTCTCTCCAAATCTCATATTGAAATGTGATCCCGAGTGTTGAAGGTAGGGCCCAGTGGAAGGTGTTTGGGTCGTGACTGGCTTGGTGCCTTCCTTGCGGTAATGAATGAGCTCTTGCGCTATTAGTTCACAGGAGAGAGCTGGTTGTTAAAAAGAGCCTGACACCTCCCCCTCTCTCTCTGGGTCCCTCTCTTACCATGCAACACGCCTGCTCCTCCTTCACCTTCTGCCATTATTGTAAGCTTCCCGAGACCCTCACCAGAAGCCAAGTGGATTCCAAGACTATCCTTGTACGGCCTGCAGAACGGTGAGCCAAATAAACTTATTTATAAATTACCCAGCCTCAGGTGTTCCTTGACAGCAATGCAAAATGGACTAAGACATCCATTTTTGAGAATTCATCCAAAAGAATTGAAACCACTCCCATGTCCATTGTAGCAATACATATAACAGTCAAATGTGGAAGCAACGTAAAGTCCATTGACAAATGAATAAAGAAACTGCACATGTATACATTCAGCCTTAGAATGGGAGGAAATTCTGTAACATGCGACAAGATGGATGAACCCGGAGGACAGGATGCTAAGCTAACAAGACGGACATGGAAAGTCAAATATTGCACAATTCCACTTCTATGAGGCACTGAAAATAGACTCCTGGGAGTAAAGACTAGAATGGTGGGTGCCAGAGGCTGGGAGGAAGGGGAATGGGGTGTTGCTAATCCACGGGTATGAAGTTTCAGCGGTGCAAGATGAGTGCTTCCTAGAATCTATCAGGCTGCTCATTTAAAAATGCTATGTTCTTGCTTAAAGATCATGCCATGTTCTTGCTTAAAATCCTGGATGGTGTCTCCTTTGGAAAAAATGCATCCAGACTTTTACGAGAGCTGGGGTGGCCCCCCCGCCCCGGGCTGCTCCCCCTTATCCTGTGGCCTTCCTCACTCCCTGTGCCTCAGCTACACGAATTGTTTTGTTTTTTAGATACGTCAAACTCTTGGCTCCTTCTCCTATTTCATGTCTCAGCTTAAAAGTCTCCTCAGAGAGGCCTTCAGCCGGCTCTCCCCCTAACCCTGAACTGTTTCCTTCTTACCGCTGGTCACATTTCTTACAGATTTGTACTTGTTTGCTTTGCTGCTTGCTGTTTGGCTGCCCTGTCCGGAGTATGAAGGCTCCGTGGAGCCATGGCCAGGTCTGTCCAGTCCCTTGTTGCATCTGGTCTCGTTCCACAGCGGCTCATCGGGATTTTTGGTTGAATGAAGGCATGAAGGAGCATCTTTCCCAGAGTCAGGTCAGATGGCCAGCGCCTCTCACCCAGACTAGGCCAGCAGGCTCCTGCTCCAGGGAGGCGGGGCTGCTCGGACCCAGCGGCATCTGATCCTGGCCTCCATCTTCCTGGCTTCCTATCTCAGGCTCGGGTCTGGCTCTAGGCTGGGCTGGTGACCCGCCTCCCCCGGGGCATGCCATGCTCTCTGTCCCTCAGCCCGGATCAGCTGCCCAGCCATCTCCCTTTCTCCAAAAGTTTCCCCAACTTGTAGTCAGGTTGCGTGGGTCAGGGTGGAGAAGGGAGGGCAGGGACTCACCAGCGCCGCTGGCCCCGACGCTCGGCCTCCAGGAGCTCCCGCCACAGCTGGTCCTGCTGCACGCCACCGCCACCGCAGGCAGCTCCCTGGGCCACCCGCTGCGCCTTCAGAGCCTGGGGGGCCTGACAGCCACCAGCAAGACCTCTGCTGACCATAGGGCCAATCCGGGCAGCTGGGGAGACAGAGGTTGGCGGCCTGGTGGGAGACAATCGGTACCCAGGTGATGTGGTTCTCTGGAGCCCAGGGGTGGGGTGGCTCCCCATGGGTGCAAGAGTGTGTGTGTGTGTGTGTGTGTGTGTGTGTGTGTGTGTGTGTGAGAGAGAGAGAGAGAGAGAGACAGAGAGAGAGAGAGACTCCTGTGCCTGAGCTCAGCTCAAACCTCCTCCTGGAACACTCTCTCCCTCCTAACCCCGGGACAGCCTGGGCAGGGTCCTCCTCACTGTCGCTTTAGGCCTCGAGCTCAGAGTGGCTGATGGGAAGAGCATTTGAGCCCAGTTTTGTTTTGAACTCCCGCCTGTGTTGACTGTTGTCCTGGGAACGGGCAGCTCCCAGGAAAGAGGCGGGCCCCGTGTGTGCGTGTGTGTGTGTGTGTGTGTGTGTGTGTGTGTGTGTGTGATCTGAGCCCTAGGGCTGGGGGCAGAGAGTTCTTGAGTAGATGCCACGCCCAGTTCAGCAGCCTCCTACCCCGAGGCCAGAGTCCTCCGAGCAGGGTAGGGGAGGAGGAGGGAGCGAAGCCGGGGCTCCTGGGGGCACCCCCACCATTGTCGCACTTGGCTTCCGGCAGCCGCCTTCAGGCCGCGGGGCGATGATAGTCCTGTGCTGCCCCCTCGTGGATGCTACGAGGCTTGCACGAGATGGTGGCCCTGAGGGCGCTCTGGGAATTGTGGATCAGGCATCAGTGTGAAGCTTCCTGCTTGTTTGGGAACAATGGCGGAGGTCATGAGCTTCTGTCGGGCGAGGGAAAATGAGTGCAATGCACTAGGAACATCCGCTCTGTCTGTAAACCCGGAGCGTTCACACAGCACTCTGCTTTATGTCTGAGACCTCCCAGCCATGCCTTTCCAACGCCATTCTACAGATGAGGAAACTGAGGCCCTTACCGGCAAGATTAAGTGACCGCCCACGGTCACACAGTCACCAGCTGAAGGGAACAGGGAGAACCTGAGGGCTCACGGTCCGAGCCCTCAGCCCTGTTTCTGTTCTAACTGGGTGCAGCCAGGCTCCCTCCGTGGCAGCCTCTCCTGGTCTGGCTCAGCTGAGCTCCAGGGATGCCCGCTGCTCTCATCACTTCTGCCTCCTGCACTCTCTGCTTCCGGTTCTCTGGGTTTCGTGCTGTTCCGGTAGGTGCTGGCGGTTCTCTGGGTTTCGTGCCGTTCCGGTAGGTGCTGGCAGATTCACAGTTCCTTCCACGCAGCTTCTCTGTGGGTCCATTCAGCTGGACCGCTGCTTCCTATCGTTGTACAGGAAGAGCTAAGTGCAGACAAAACCCTGATGAATAGAGGCCTGCGCAGAGTGCCTGGGGTGCAGGGCAGCCAGGGAACCACTGAGCTCGCCCTGTGGCCAGTCCTGTGTGCCCCTGCTGGATTCTGCTTCTGTGAGGGAGGCAGCAAGGAGTTGGGACTTCACAGGTGAAAGGACTTGCCAGGTAGAAAAACTGGGGTGACCACAAAAGCTTGGATGCAAGAGAGAGCCTGGCATTTTGGGAGATGTGGGGGAGGAGACAAGGACGGGGGTGGCAGGGCACATGGGGGCAGGCCCCGGGGTGTTTTCCACTGTATCCTGTACCCAGTGGGGAGATACTGATGGGCTGTGAGCCCCAACGGAACTGCAGGGAACAGAACCATCAGGAAAGGGGTAAGAAACAGGTGAGGTCGCCATTGCCATGGTGTGGGTAAGCAATGGCAATGAAGCCCCTACCGGGCTCAGGTGGGGGGCTGGCGTGGAAAAGACAGGGCTGAGAGCCAGGCCAGAAAGAGCTGCCAGCCTTGTCTTCCCACACTTGCATGAGGATGGAGCTGAGGGGTGTGACCTTTTGGGAAAACATTAGTCTAAAATCAGAGCTGGAAGCCTGGGACTCTGTCTCTCCTCTGTCCCTCCCCTCAGAGCTGGGATGACACAGGCTGGCATCTAGTGACTTAAACTTTCCTGGTAAAGATGAGCGCAGCAGGAGCGTGGCAGGGTGGGCCGCTGTGTGCTGGGACCCGGGCCAGGCTTTTCTGAGTGCCGCTCCCATGGAGGTGTCTGTGCTCCCTGCACCGCGATGACAGGTTCCTGCCATGCCCAAGGAGCAGCGGCTCTGACTTCCCTGAACCCCCAGAAGGGGGGTTCTAAAGACACCCCGTGAGTGTCTTTAGAGAGGACAATGTGTCCTGGGAGGCTCTGTCAGGCTGACCGCAGGCTGTAGCCCTGAGCAGCTGGGAACAGCCATGCAGTTTGCTCAGATACCTCCAGCCCTGGCCACAGGCTCTAGACACAGGGACCAGGACAAAGAAGGCCAGCAAGGGCATCTGCAACAAACCATCACGACTGATCGAGTTCCTGAGATATGTAGAGGCTAAATATTTCCACTGAGTTTTTTTTTTTTTTGGACGGAGTCTCACTCTGTTACCAGAGCTGGAGTGCAGTGGTGCGATCTTGGCTCACTGCAATCTCTGCCTCCCGGGTTCAAGCGATTCTCCTGCCTCAGCTTCCCGAGTAGCTGGGAAAACAGGTGTGCACTGCCACACCCAGCTAATTTCTTTCATATTTCTAGTAGAGATAGGGTTTCACCATGTTGGCCAGGCTGGTCTCGAACTCCTGACCTCAGGTGATCCACCCACCTTGGCTTCCCAAAGCGCTGGGATCACAGGTGTGAGCCATGGCACCCGGCTGGAGATTGGTTCTTAAAAATTAAAATATAATGTAAAAACCATTTCAGACCGAGAGTTGATAGAGGGCTGGACTGATGGGTGACAAAGCAAATACAATACAACGTAACTGTAGAATCTAGGTGGTGGGCATATGGGCGGGCATAGGCTGGGTGTCTGCCCTGCCATTCTTTCAACTTCTCTGTGTGTCTGAAAAATTTCAAAATAAAATGTTGAGGGGAAAAAAACCACCTCACCTGCCAGTCCAGGTCAGTCACTGCCAGTCTCTTTTCACATGTCCTTATCCCTGGAAAAACATCCAAATTCACTCTGGGTGCGCCTCATGAGCCCCAGCCTGGGAGGACCCACGCCGCCCTACCCCTCCCGCAGCTCTAAGGCTGGCCTCACCTGGGGATCAGGACACCGGGTTCCAGTCCCTGCTCTGCCAGTGACTTGCTCTGTGCCCTTGAGCGAGGGCTCAGGGCACACCCCACATTTTGTGGTTTAACTTTACATGAGACTTTCCAGGGAAGCACAAGAATCCCTGCCTTTGGGAGGTTGCTGGAGTTGTCTTTTAATGGGTTTTCCTCAACCCTAAAAGGCTTAGCAAGTTTAGGGCCTTCAGCTGGGCGAGGCAGAACGTTCCAGCCCAGGCAGCCACAGGGTGGCCCCACCAGCCCGGGAGCAAGGACACCTGCGATTCACAGAGCGCGACGAGGCTCCGCCCTGCGAGCCAGCCCCGCCCACTTCCTGTCGGCCCCGCCCCTTCCCGGGTCGGCGGGCGAGGGAGGGTCCCGAGCTCCGCCCAGCTCCGCAGGCGCAGAGCCCAGGGGCCCCGGACCTTGGGAGCCCGCGGGAGAGAGCTGAAGGGGCGGGTCCGTGGGAGGTGAAGGCAGGGGAAATGTGTGTCTGCATTTTTTAATTTGCAGGGGATATTTTCTGTCCCTTTTGTCCCCGAAGCCTCTGCTTTTTGGATGAAAAGTTGGCTTTACTACCCTCTCCCTCCTTCCTGCAGGCACACACCTTGGAGGCGTCATACCAGGCGGTGACCGCAGAGGAAGCATCCAGGGCCACAATTCTTGCCTTGTCAGCTGCTCCCGCCAAGTCCCCAGAAAGCTCCCGGTTCATCAGAACAGCAACATTAAAGGCAGGCCCAATTTATCTATGGAAAAATCTGCACCGGCCTTCCTCTTGTAGCCCCAACCGTTTTCACTTATAAGTAGCCGCTTTGGGTCTAACTGTTGGTTGTACAGTTGCTGTCAATGTGCCCACCATTTTGTACTCAGCTTAAAATTGTTTGTTTGTTTGTTTATTTATTTAGAGGCAGAGTCTCGTTCTATCACCCAGGCTGGAGTGCAGTGGGACACGATCTCTGTTCACTACAACCTCCACCTCCTGGGATCAAGTGATTCTCCCGTCTCAGCCTCCTGAGTAGCTGGGATTATAGACCTGCGCCACCATGTTCGACTAATTTTTGCATTTTTAGTAGAGACGGGGTTTCGCCATGTTGGCCAGGCTTGTCTTGAACTCTTGACTCAAGTGATCTGCCTAACTTGGCCTCCCAAAGTGCTGGGATTACAGGCGTGAGCCATCATGCCTGGCCAAAAAAATTGTTTTTAATGTATCAGCAACATCTTTTCATGTTTCTCTTTACAATTTTTTTTTTCTTTTTTGAGACAGGGTCTTAACTTTGTCACCCAGACATGGTCATAGCTCATTGCAGCCTCCACCTCCCTGGGCTCAGGGGATCCATCTCAGCCTCCCAAGTAGCTGGGACCACAGGTGCTTTATAAGCTTTACACATCTCATTGTAGCCAGTTTCTTAGAGTTGATGCACCATAATGTGTTTAACTACATTTATCTCTTCTTGGACATTTAGATTTTGTTCAGGTTTAGCACCAGCTGTGATGAGGGTCTCCAAGCCTCTGCTTCCTGCTGTGGAATTGTTGCCACAGGACACATTCCCTGATGGGATTACTGAGTCAGAGGAAGTGGACATTGAGTGGCTTTCAACAGACAGGCTGTGTTGCTCTCATGGTGTCCATGCAGGTACCACCAGCAATGTGTACACATACAGGAAGCGCCGGCTTCCCTGTAGTCTTGTTGCCATGGCGTGTTGGGGTCTCTGAGACCACCGTGGGTTTGACGATTGGCTAGGAAAACTCGCAGGACTCAGCATACAGTGATACACGAGGCTATGATGTATTACGACAACAGGACATGAAGCAAAATCAGCAAAGGAAAAGGCACATGGGTCAAGTCCAGAGGAAAGGGAGTGTGAGGGTCCAAGACCCTGTCACACGCTGGACGCACTCACTTCCCCCAGCAGTGTGTTGGGACAACACGTGTGGAATGTCATCTGTCAGGGACACTCACTAGAGATTTGGCACCGAGGATTTTACTGCAGGCTAGTCACAAAGGCACCCTCTGCCTAGCATGTACCGAAATTCTGGACTCCCAGTACGAAGACATAAACCACAGTGTTTCCACGGTTTAGGGGCAGTGAGCTGTTCTTATCAGGGAAGGGTGGGAACACTCCCCAAGTCAATTTCCCAGATACCAACCAAGGGCCAACCTTGCAAGCAGTCCTTGCTAAAGATGACATTGCTATAATTTGTATTTCTTTCATTTTTCTTTTGAGGGTAAATCATGTCGGTATAAAATAATGAGAC